GGTAGTGGCAAAATCTTCGCTAAAATCCAGGAACGATGCCATCCCTCTGCAAGACTTTTCTTGTCCCTGACATTCTTGCTGATGGGACTCTTCTGTCCAGAATATTCTCCTGGATCACACACCTGCAGAAGCCCCTACAGACAGCATCTGCCCTAGAAGGGCAACCATCGGCAGTGTCACAGACAAACCAAACCAGAACCTCTTTCACTCTCTACAAGATAATGTTTCCTGATAACCTTTTTTATCCAAAGTCCTCCCCCTGTTCAAAATCCATGCTCCCGATAATAACAGCCAGAAGCCATTCTTCAGCTTTGCTGCTCCTGTCCCCTTCCGGTATAGGAAATACCAAGTGCCCCCACTCCATTAGCAAACACTGCTTCATAATACTCTTTCCATGCACACATCGAGATAAATGGCAGCCGTGAGTCAGTGAGTTGGTAGTGATTGATACATCCTCTTTTGGCGGATGAAACACCATTGCTTAATATTTTGTAAAGACATTCTTCTTAGAATAAGTTTATAAAGCTGAAGATGGAGAAGTGGCTCAGATACAGAAGAGCCTATAGTTCCACACATGATTTTATTTTAGAACCTTTTAAAGAAAATCCATACCAGCTTCTAGATGGGTGTCCAGTTGCACTCAGAGCTCTTAAGGAGGCAAGCAGGACACAGTACACACATTCAGAGCCATAGTGAAAACTGGCCACCGGCAACCTACTACTTCTTCACCATTAAATCGATAGGACCTAAGAGAAGTGTTCATTTAGAAGAGAAAGCATGACAAAATCAGATTTACCCAGACATCAGTAAAAAGGGCCCAAGAAGGATGACACCAAAAAAGGGACATTCATCCAGGCTTTATCAAAGTAAGCTGAGAGATACCAAGATGAAGAGCAAATGTCATGTTCATTCCTTATTTTGAGAAAGACGTACAGATTTGAGAAGCAATTTTCTTAAGAATGCTGTCTGACGTACAAGTCCGAATTATAAATCACACTATACCCTGAAGCCTACTTAATAAAGAAGAAGTTGAAAATAAACAAATGGCTAGTTTGAGGTATGTAAATTTCTGAACTCTCTTAAGGGAGAAAATTTTATTACCATTATTAGTGAACTGTTTTTAATCTCTGACATCAAAGCATAGACATTAACCCTGGGGTTCTGAAACCAGAATAACCCATACATGAGAAACTACCACATATTAACATTAGTCTGTCAAGTTTTAGACAATTCACAAGTGATACCATGAGTAAAGAGAGGTATGGGGGAGGAATAGGAAGAATCGGAAGACCTAGGTTCAAGTTCAACTCAAGTAGGTATAGATAATATTTAGCAAACTGATTCATCTTGCCTGCCTCAGTTTACTTAACTGAGGGTTCAGGGATAAAATATGGAAGTAAAGCCCTTTATAAACCCCAAAGTATTGTTTTAATCTTAACAGCACTGACTCCAGAATGCCTGCGTTTCTCATAGTCTTGGAGAGTCACAGAACTTTAGGGTTGAAAGGTCACTGCATTTGAGGGATGATAATGATGAGAAAACCAAGTCCCAGAAAAGCTGAAGAGTCTTGCACAGGAAACACTTCTGTAAACTGGTGGTGGGTGAGGGAGGGCCTAGTTTTTCCACCACTGAAATACTCATTTAGATAGTTCAAAAAAAAAAATCCTAGAACTAAAATCCCTCCTCAGACACACACATACAGTCCCCACTTTATGATGGCTTGCCTTATAATTTTTTTGATTTGATGATGGTGTGAAAGTGATTCACACAATAAATTACATGAGATATTCAGCAATTCATTATAACATAGGCTTTGTGTTAAATGGTTTTACCCAACCGTAGACTAATAGTAGTGTTCTGAGCACATTTAAAGTAGGCTAGACTAAGTTTATGCTAATTCATATTCAGCTGGTTAGGAGTATTAAATACATTTTTTACTTGTGATTTTTAATTTTAATTTAAGAGATTGCATTTATTTATTTTTAGAGAAAGGAGAAGGGAGGGAGAAAAAGAGAAAGAGAAATGTGCATTGGCAGCCTCCCCAGACCTGCCCCAACCAGGGACCAAACCCACAACCTAGGCACACACCCTGACTGGGTGGGAATCGAACTGGCAACCCTTCGCTTTGCAGAACAACACCCAACCAACTAAGCCTCACTGGTCAAGGCCGGACTTGTGATATTTTAAGCTTATAAAGGATTTATCAGGATGTAACTCTATTATAAGTCCAGGAACATCTATTTATCTGTATAATTCCTCTGCTTTATTTTACTTTTGTAAACTTTACTCCTGTAACTTAAAAGTTAAACTAAACTTTTCATCAGAAAGATAAAAATAAAGCCAGTTCTCTGGCTATGAGACTCACAGCCTACTTTCAAGCCAATGCAGAAAAAACCTTAACAATCGGGTTAGGAATATCTAATGAAAATACCCACATAAAATTAACCTCCAGTTATGTTGGCAGGCATCATTATAATATGGATTACTGTTTATCAGCCCGGGGATACCGGTTTTAATGCTACCTGGGAGATCAAGAATTAACCAGCAACTTAGAAGGAAGGGAGTGTTGCCTAAAAATGGCCAATTTAATGGAGACAATTCTATTGTCTTGAGCACACAGTATCAACAACCCACTATGGCACCAGAGAAATTGTGTGTGGTTAAAGAGACAGTATGTTCTTTTTTTCTGCAAGCAGTTATGGGAAGCTGAAAAAGGCTGACTGTGAATCAGTTATGTTTTAGTTCCATAGTGGACATAAATTATGATAATTTGGACATTCTCGTGGTTAAACCAGAAAGCAGGAAAACCATAGTTTCCAAGGCCCTACAAAAAGTTTGTGGCAACCCAACTGAAAGACAGGGCCATGAGAAGTGCCCATAACTTATTTCTGGATTTTCCTGACTCCACTAAAATCGATGACACTATTTCCCATCCCTTATTGTCAAATCACAACGGTCCGGAAGCCTGGACTGAGTTCACTTGGCAGGTAACAGGAACAACCCTAGGAGGAAGTCCTGAAGGATGTCAGATACCGTATTTCCTTTTCTCCTGCATATTTTTCATCTTAACGCTGCTAGGATATATTTTCCATGCATTTCTGACACCCACCAAGTGTTCTGGCTGACACAAACTTTGCAGAAACTGCCATACTGTAGGAAGGTCCCTTGTGAGATCCTTAAGTAGCTTAGATGAGTAAAACATTCAGACTACTACTATAATGAGCATGTCTCAGTGGCTCATAAATTCTTTCATTCCCAGCAATCAAGAAGCAGCTGTTAAAATCCAGGAATCCTCCTAGTAGCAGATCTGAAATACCTCTGAGCTGGCCAGAGAAGCTTCACAACCACTTTCTCTTCCTCCCTCTCTTCTTCCCATCCCCACCCCCCACTCCCATCGCAGAGTGCCAGCCTGGCAAGAATAAAGATGGCCCAGGAAGGAAAAGGGGGGGGGCAGCGGGGGGGGGCAGCGAGAGGGCGGGGGGGGGGAGGGGAGAGAGGGAGAGAGAGAGAGAGAGAGAGAGAGAGACACCGATCGGGTGAAAGCCGAGATGCAGACTCCTTTCATTTCCTCTATAGAGAAATACCCACTCTCCGTATCAACTAACCAGGTTCCTAACTTTTCTCTCCCATCCCACCGCCCTCTAAACACAGGAACTTCTGCAGTTTGGCGGTATGGTATTTCCAGGGTTAGAGGCATCAGCTGTCCTAAGCCCTTTCCCCAAAGATTCTGAACTGGCACTTCCGTTCTGCGCCAGAGTTTGAGGCCCATCCCACGGGAAGATTAAGCTTCCCTTTACCTTGTAACCAGTCCAGACGGCGCCGCCACAACTCGGGTCAAGTTCAAGATGAAGGTGCCCTCCTAACCTCCCCGAATTGACTCTCTAACCAGGAACAGCGCTACTGAGATGATTCCCATCACTCCAGGCAAGGCGATCTAGGGCAAGAGTGGGCCGGAGGGAAGACCGCGTCTGATTCGCGCATTCTCCGACTCCCTGGCTGCGGCGCCGTATTTTCTACCTGGCCACCGCCGCATTTCCTCCCTGAGCCTTGTACAATGAGTCAAGTAAGTTTTCAGAACGCCGGTCCAGAGAAGCTTCGGTATGCAAACACAACACACAATGCCTAGGGCTTCCTTCCTTGCCAGTCGTTCCGGAAAGCTGCCGCGCCAAAGCGGGGAGCCCCGCACACCCCCAGCATTGTGTGCCTGCACCCTAAAGTCTTTCGGGAAGAAGGTGCGCCCTGACATAAGTACCCCTAAAGTGACTACTCTCCACTCTCCAAACAACGTCTTGATACAATCTTGATACAATTTTCATCTTTCTCAGCTCCTTCTCAACATTTAATCCTACCTAGCTCATCACCGCCACCAACCCCCCGCCACCAAAAAAAAATAAGGTGGATGTGCTAATCGCAGTGCTCTTGGGAAAAAAGCAATAGATTTAACCCAGACTGTGGTATTACGACACCACCCCCCATCGGCTAAGTTCACCCGGCAACTTCGAGACCCGCACTCCCCTCCACCCCCGGCACCCTGAACCCCCCGGTACCAGGCGCGCCTCTTCGCCGCCTCCTCCGCCCCAGGTACCAGGCGCTGCCCAGGCCTTTGCCAAGTCCGCGGGCTACAGAGGAGACGAGAAAGGGGACAAGGGGCCGGGTAGGGGTAGTCTCGAAACCCGAGCGTGCCGTCACGCGTCCCTAGTACCCCGAACCTCAGTCCGGTCCGGCGCGGAGGGGATAGCGAAGGAAAGGCGCAGACTCTCCAGAGCCGCCAGCACTAAGGCCCGGGGTGCAAACATGTCCGTGCCTATCTCCAGAAAGCTCCCGGGTGTGCCCAGAGAAGGGGGGGCAGGCTCCAGGAACTTTCCCACATGCCTTTCCACTCTCCTCATCACCCTTTCTTCCTCTCCCTGGGACCCTCTACTCCCCTCTGCCCCGCTAAAGCTGGCCTTGCCCGAGGCGCTCGGAGGCCCGCGTTGGTGTCGGGGCAGCCAGAGTTTTACCTGCCGGGAAAGTTTCCAGCTCTTCGGCGCGATTCCCCTACCCGCAGGGCCGGGCCTCGGGGCGCGGTCAGCGCGGCGCTCCTCTAGTGCCTCTTCTCCGGCTTCCGAGGCTGCCGCTGCTCCCGCAGCTGCCACAGCGAAGGCAGCGATCCGGCCCGTCCCCCCTGCCTCGCTCGGCCCACACCGGGGCCTCATTGGCAGCCCGAATCCCCGCCCTTGCGCGTGTTCCCGAAGGCACCTTCCTCTCGCGCGCCCGCCCGGGCCGCGCCTCCCGCGTCCCTCCGCTCCTGGGGCTGCGGCGGCTCCGGGACCGGCCCGGACGCTGCGCGGGAACTTTGGGCCGGGCGGGCGCAGCCCTCTCCCTCCCTACTTCTCCCCGCCGAGTTCCTAGCATTCCCCAAGGTGACTGATCCCTCGGAGCTGAGCTCGGGCCGCTCAGGGACTAGGACAAGATGGGTGATAGTCTTTTTTTTTTTTTTTCCCCAATCTCTTTGAAATCAGTGAGGTGACATGGCCTGTCCTCCTTACGGCCTTTTGAAAACAACCGAGGACATATGGGAGCAATTAACCAAGCTGTTTTGGTGAATGCTTTAGGGTGACTTTGTGTGGCTGTCTTGAATTTTCTCTGCCTCGCTTCTCTATTTCTCCCCCACACCCCCCCCCCCACACACACACTTTCTGGGGGCAAGAATGAGCTAGAAAAGGTGGAAGGTACAGGGGGGCATCTCTCCTGCAGTGTCTTTTTCTTTGCTGAAATCGTGTTAGTCATGTTAAGGGCGCGGAGGTTGCCTGGGCGTCCCCTGACCGGGGGTCTGCAACTTCCTCTGACCGGTCCAGGCTGGCCCTGTGCTGCCTGAGCTACAACCGCGGGGGGCCAAAGACGTGCTTCCAAGGGCGGGAGGAGGAGGTATGGAGCGAGGAGAAACACAAAGATGCTATTATTGTTTCAGTTAGTAGCAGCAAATGAAATTCCAGAGGCCCCAAGATGTTTTTGTTATTCCCCAGCAGCGCGAGAGCTGGGATAGGGCCCATGGATTTAGGGGGCCTGGGCTCAGCGGGTTCACCTAGGAATCCCAGGCAGCCGTTACAGGCTGGGGGGCTCAACCCACTCCACACCCAAAACTCGTTACACCCGCGTTGGTCAACGAAGGATCAACCAGGACGGCAGCTGCCTTGTGTGGCCTGCGGGGATTGTGCACAGGTCACCCCCATGGTGGGTCTGGAGCAGGGAATCCAGAAGTTGCTGTAAATGGATTTATTAGCAACCTCTAACCTTGCTGTGGCAAACCTGCCTTTAAAGTCAACTGTTTTAAACAAGTTCCCCCATAAAAACTTCAACCTCATGCAGAGCTTTCCAATATAAAGATATCTGGGGAGGGAAGTATCCATATTTAAAGTTCTTATGAAAAGGGAAAGAAAGCAAAATGCCATACAATCGCTCTACATCAATAAAAGATGAGTGAATTTGCGGATTTTTCACCCCTAGTTTCAAAGGCCTGATTATTACTGGGCTGTTATTTGAGCAGTGAGCAGCAGCAGCAGCCTTGAAATCTTCCTATAGCAAAACAGAATATGAGTACTTAAAATATAAAGTTATTAAACCAGAAAGGTTATGGACTCATTTCTTCACTCTGAAATGCCTCGTTGCTGGAAAACATGGTAATAGGTTTTATTTAATTTCTCTTGAAATGATATGCATAAAGTTACCAATCTTTCAACAACAGATGAGAAAGCCGGGCAGCAACCTTAATGATAAAAGAATGACACAAACAACAGCAACAACAAAAACCTTCACAGATTTTAATCAGAAATATTAAGATACAAAAGAAACAATGCTAGAGAAACAAACTGGTACAATTCCCTACCTGAGACTACTTTATAATGGGTGAAACGTATAGTGGATGCAATTTATCATTTGTATAATACCATGTTCTGTCTTTGGCTCTTCTAAGCTATATTCTCCAAGTTTTTGATGAAATTGCTTTGTTAAATTGGGCTTTGAAGACAGTGAAATTCATCCCCCACCCCATCTTCAGAGCTCCCTAAGTAGTAAGTAGAAAAACACAGAAAGTAATTATGTTAATTACCAGCATCATCTTTAGTTGAAAAAAAATGTCTTTATAGTTTCAGAAGTCACAGTCCCTAAAGAAGCAACTTCATCACTACCTAGTTAGGAGTGTTTAACATTTGAAACAAGCATACAGCTAGCAATCTGAAATTTGTACACAGACGGGCCCCATCTCCCCTTCCTCTGTAATGTTTATACAATACAAACTACACATGTTATTATGCATAATCTGATCTCCAGCTCTCACCGGCTAACATTCCATACAGTATGTCACACTAAGAACATCAAAGCTATCTGAAGCTGTGAGTGGAAATGCTACATTTTATAGAAGACAAGGCCAAAAAACACAAAGTTATAAAAATTTGTGGGTAAGAGAAAACGGGATACATTAAAATCAAGTCTGTAAGAAAATACTTGAACATTTTCTAAGCATTTAAATACAGGGCGGGGCAAAAGTAGGTTTACAGTTGTTTATATGGAAAATAATACAATAATTAAAAAACAATAATACAAGAATAAACTATTTTGCATACTCACAACTGTAAACCTACTTTTCTCCCACACTGTATATGAAGTATTAGCTGAGCACAGGTTCAAAAAGCGAATTTTAATGCTTTTTTAAAATCTGCTTTTCCCTTAAAAAATATGACGCTTTTAGTTAATTATTAAGTGATGGTTTATTTGTATTTTTAGGGGTAGGGGAAAGAAAGAATCACTTCTTGCTTTTCTTAGGGTACTTCCACTCACCCAATTCAGTATCAAAAGCTCACTCATTACATTTCTGTTGATTCCAGTTGGAAAAAAAATTTTTTTAAAGCCCTGACTGGTATGGCTTCATGGGATGGTGGGGGAGGGTCCTACCACAAAGCATAAGGTCACCAGTTCAAATCCTGGTCAAGGCACATACCTGGGGTTTTGAGCCAGGCCCCTGCTTGGTGGCGTTTGAGAGGCAACCAACCGATATTTCTCTCCCTCTCTCTTTCTCTTTCCTTTCCCCTCTCTCTAAAAATAAATAAGTAAAATCTTTAAAAAAAATAAGAGAGAAAGAGCACATAATATTCCATATTAAACACATTCACCAAACATACATACAATATACTGGATCCCATTTTTAAATTTTCTGTCAGTTTGCCAACAGTGTACCTTTTCTCAGCAGAGTGAAAGAAAACAACAAATAATAAACTGGTTATTTTACCTTATAATTTACTGCCCAAGGCAATAGGCTGAGGAAGATGTGAGAAAAGAATGTGGCTCACGCATGTTAGAATGCTTCTACCCTTGCTCAGATTCTTAAGTACTTCTATTTTAAATCAAGCCTAAGTTAGGATCAGAACCAGTGGTTACTATGGTGTGTGTAGTATAGAATACATAGTGAGAAGCGAAGTGTTTAAAACAGTGTTGCAATTAAAGACAAAAAGTGAGACAGAACTAAAAAGAGTTAAGACAAACTAGGAAAACAACTCAAAACAATTCAGCCCACAAATATTTTTCACCTAATTTGGGATGTCTTTTCACATTTATAGAATTCATCCTATAAACGTTGGTCCATTCAATCCTCCTTTCCCTTTTAACGCTTTGGGGAAGAAAAAAATGTTTTAAAGACATGGGGAATAATGAAATGGGTGCTAGTTAGAAATCACTTGGGAGAAGCAGGGACATTACAAACCCTACACAGTGCCTGTGTGTGTAATGAGCCACAGTCACACGTGCGTGCCCACACCATGATCAGAAGTGGACTGAGGCAGACACTCAGTTGTACACAGTTAGCCAGGCAGTTAAATTAAAAGAGTCATCTAATGAGACACAAAACCCCCTCTGCAGGTCTAGCATATGGTCTGCCAATATTGTAGAAACTCATCCAACAGGGGCTAGGCAGTGAATTATTTAAACCGATAAGGATTCCTCTGAGGGGAGGAAGTAGGGAGATAGATTCAGGGGTTCACATTTCTTTATAAGAATGTAGCAGTAACTAAAATCCTGGGAGAATCTGGTTTGAGATGGCATGCCACCTGACCAGCATTTTAAATATAGATTTAAAATTTCTATTTCCCATGTTCAGGAAGGGTGAGGGAATGCAATCAGGTAGTAATCCTTACAACAAACGTTACCAAGTCAAGACAAGATGGCTTAAAAAGAAATGTGCCGTTTAACTTTGAGTATAACAAATTCATTTTGATATCTCCACCCTGGAAGTGGTGCTTTCCCTTTTCTCGGTAGGTTTTCCACAAGGGCATTGCCACAGGAGTCTAGACTCCACTTCTGACTTTGGCAGCTGTTGTTTGCACTCCCTGGCAATTCTTCTAGACTTTCTGAGCCTCGGGCCCCTCGTCTGTGAAATAGGAGGATAGCATAGAATCTCTGCCTCATCTTTTGTCAGCAGAACTAAACAAAGTAAGATGAAAAGCAACTTAAAAATTAGAAAATACAGAAGCTAACTTTTATTTACTAGATAAGAAACTATGTTTTCCCCTTCCTGTTACCAGGGACCACTTTGGTTGGAATAACAACCTAAAGGCTTCGTTGGAGCAGTCCAAAATGCCATGTTCACCAAATGTGAAAGGCAGAGAGCCTTAAAGATGATTTAGTAGTAGATAACAACTCCAATTAAGCTCTCAGAGGCTCATCTGGGGGTAAATTGTCAGTTCTTGCCTCAAACAGTGGCAGTCAGGAGCCATATATAGAGTTATATTTTTCTCCCATGTTCATGTTAAAGAGGAAAAAATACACAAACAATTCAGGTGTATCTCATTTTATGCAAATCGACATACAAAAATTCCTAATTACTCAATATGCTAATTTAAAGGAAATGTTTTCTTTAAAACATTCTTGCTGACATTCTTTGCAATTGCCACTACAATCCTATTTACATTTTTAATTACTAACCCTCCTTTCAATTCTGTGAAATAGTGCTGATGACATTAATGAGCTTGAACCCATATATATCTTTTCTGTAAGATCAAGCACTAGTCAAAACTCTTTTGCTGCTGCATATTAATCTGAAGAAATATAGGCCAGACAATGGCACCTACAAAATGTTATGGCTTAAGAGGGTGAGGGGCATAAAAATGGAGGGCTTAGCCAAAACGGAAACTGTGGTTTTGTTTAAAAAATCAGTTTGCTCTT